ATTTTAAGAACTGCGCTGAATAAATGTTGAAAAGGCAGGTTCAAGTGGGAAATATTTATAAGTGGAATTGCCATAATCATTATAACGGAAAAGGCTTGTGGCTTTGACCATATAGGAAAAACTTGCTTTGGTTTTGACGCTGTTTCGCTATCCGCGTGGCCGCATTAACAAATATATTAGTGAAATCGATTTTTCATTAACATTTCCTATGCTTATGTTAATGAGCTTATTTTTGTAAGAAATATGCCACATCGTGCATGCATTTATTCCTGGCAACTGCGTCTCCAGTGAACACTGTACATGATGGTGGGCTTTAAGTTGGATTTAAAAAAAATATTTAATTTCGGTATATTCTCCCACAGAACTGGATTATCTCTTTTCGCTTATGGTCTGACACACTCTTTTATGGAATTTAGAAGGAACCCTTTAATGTTTATAATATACTAAAATTTAAATAGATACATAAATAGTCAGCTTATGCGCCACTCGATATACGATCGTTTTGAAATGATAGTCCTTCCAATTCCGAAGAGTTTCACCAGCATCAGATCTCCGTTCTCCGATATATAACTCGTTAAAGTCAAAATGTTATTCAGATTAAGCTGCAGTAATTAAATTTAGGCAAAGCGTTTCCAGAATATAGGTTTCCATCAAATAAACATGGAAAATCGAGTGAATACATGCGCTTCCTAGTTAGTGCCTGCAAATTTATATGAAGGACTAAAAATTGAGATCTTGCGATGCACTAATTGCTTTAGGATCGCGTTCAGGTTAGTGACCACTGTAGCCTCAATAAAGAATTCATACATATATTTAAAGACGTATCTTTGCGTTTGCTTGGTTGATGAACTTCAAAGCATTTCTCGAAATTATCGAGATAGAAGGGAGCGTATCAGCTATTCGTCTTATAAAGATTAAAAAACAGAATAAATCTAAGAAACACAGCCTGACTGTCTGCGAGAAATAACTTGCAGTATCAACAATTAGTAATTTTGGCTTCTTAAAATAAAAATAAAATATCGGGTCGTTCACTTTTTGCATCTCAAACAAGTTGGTATATTTAAAAATAAAAACAAAATTAGCATAAGAACCTGTATAAAGATTAAAAGGAAAGAGAATCAGAATGGAGATATTTACCCTGCGATTAACCTGCACATCCAAACCCATATCACCCATTCGGTTCGACATGTTTACGGTCTGCTAGGGAGCGTGTGTAATCGGCTAGACAAAAGGCAAGCGGAATTGTGACAAATCGGCCCTGTAGATGGTTTCTTGCGGGCCAATTTGGAATTTGGTGGGATCAGCCAATAAGCAGGCTCCCCGTTTGGCGGACATCGGCAGAAGACGCAGGCGTGCGGTGGTCCTGCTGCAGCTACCAAAATTAGTAGTCACACGATCGATTTTCCCTCTGCCACACGAGGGCGCCTGCACG